TGTGTGCCCCCCCCCCGTCCCCCCCCCCCCCCCCCCCCCATGACCCCCTGGTGATGCTTGACAGCTGTCAGTCAACCCCAAGGCTCAACAACCATCAAGGCACTGCAAATTATCCAAAAATGGTATTTTTGGGGTGGCGCAGCACCAATGCAGTGGGTGTCCACATTTTGGGGTGAAATCACGGTGAAACATTTAAGTGTTTGGTTTGGCAATCTGGTCATTACCAGTTTGCCCCAAGTCAGGGGTGAGGTGGGGTATTTTTTGAGGTAGAAAATACTGTTTCCTTCATTGTAGTGAGTTCATGCTGTCAATAGTTACGTTTGGGGTTGTGGGAGGGCTGGAAGGGTGCCCCAAAATCCACTGAATTTAACCCATTTGGATGTTGGCACAACCTGTTGCTAAAGGGGGCAAAGAAGGTAAAATTCTTGGGTTATTTTTCTGCTAAAAAGGTGAAATAGCCTGTGAAAGGTGGTAGAAAAAGATGTCTCCCTGTCGAACATCTCCATCCATCACCTCTGCATCCAGCGTTCCTCTCTGACATCTTCCCATCTAACGTCCCCATCCAATATCTCCATCTGACCTCTTCCCCATTCAGCTCCACCATCCATCACCTCCCCATCCAGTATCCCCAGCATCTCCAACACTTCCCCATCCAATGTCACGGTCCAGTATATGAATTCAAACATCTCTCTGTCCAACACCTTCATCTAGCATCTCCATCCAACGTTCTCCCTGTCCAACTTCCCAGTCCAGTGTCTCCATCCAGCAACTCTCCATCCAGTGTCCAACTATCAAACATCTCTGTCTCCTTGCAACACCCCCCCATCCAGTGCTTGCTTTTTCATCATCTCCCTTTCCACTGTTTCCATCCAGCATCACCATCCAGTGTCTCTGTTCAAAGTCCCATCCAACATCCCTATCCAACATTTCCCCATCCGACATCTCCATCCAATGTCTCCCTGTCCAACGTCCCCATCTAATGTCTCCATCCAATATTCCCATCCAATGTCTCCATTCAACATCCCCACCCAATGTCTCCATCCAGTTCCCTCATCCAACATTTCCCCATCCAATCTCTACCTGTCCAATATCCCCATCTGATGTCTCCATCCAGTATTCCCACCCAGCATCTCCATCCAACATCCCCATGCAACATCTCCGTCCAATGCCCTCATCCAACATTTCCCCATCCAGTGTCTCCCTGTCCAACATCCCCATCTGATGTCTCCATCCAGTTTTCCCATCCAATGTCTCCATTCAACATCCCCACCCAACATCTCCATCCAATACCCTCATCCAACGTCTGCCCAACACCCCCATCCGATGTCTCCATCCAATGTTCCCATCCAACATCTCCCCATCCGACATCCCCATCCGATGTCTCCCCACGCAAACCCCTGCCATGCCACGTGTCTCCTTGAGCTGTCATTCCCTGGTGGCTCTCCCTGTGCCAGGGCCAGGGCCATGTCTCTGTCCATGCCGGGGCCGGGCCTGCGGTGCCACCGAGTCCACCCAGCCTGTCTCTCCTGCAGCTCTGCGAGAAGGAGGAGGAGGAGGAGGAGCTCACTGAGAGGAGTGAGCAAGACTCGGGCATCAACGAGGAGCCGCTGCTGACAGCTGAGCAGGTACCTCTGGCACCCACAGGCACCCGAACACCTGCGTGTCCCCCAAAAGCCTGGCTTTAGCCCCCACCCTCCAGCGTGGCCTCAGCTGACCCCAGCCCCATGAGCACATCCTGAAAGTGCAAAAAAAAAGGCTAAATCCCATCATTTTGGGAGGCGGGATGCAGGGCGTGGAATGCAGATTGGGATGTAGACGGAGGTGCAGGTTGTGGGTGCCAATGGGGGATTTGGGTGCAGATGGGAACGTGGGGTGTGGGTGCTGGATGCAAATGGGTGAGGTGGGATGAAGCATGAAAATAGGAGGAGGAAACGGTGGGATGGAGCTGCAGGGTGCTGGGGCAGAGGCATTTTGGGAGGCGGGATGCAGGGCGTGGAATGCAGATTGGGATGTAGACGGAGGTGCAGGTTGTGGGTGCCAATGGGGGATTTGGGTGCAGATGGGAACGTGGGGTGTGGGTGCTGGATGCAAATGGGTGAGGTGGGATGAAGCATGAAAATAGGAGGAGGAAACGGTGGGATGGAGCTGCAGGGTGCTGGGGCAGAGGCAGGATGCAGATGTGGGATGCAGAGTGCAGGCGTGGGGAAGGGGATGCAGATGTGGGATGCAGGGTGCAGGTGTGGGGAAGAGGATGTGGATGCAGATGTGGGATGCAGGCTGCGGATGTGGGGGAGGGGGGGGGGGTGGGGGG